GTCTATACTCCTTCTAGAGACCAAACCGCAGACATTCTCACCAAGGCTCTTCATAAGTCCAGTTTTGATGAGCTAACCAATAAGTTGGTCATGTACAATCTGTACAACCCACCTTGAGGGGGAGTGTGAAATTACACTCATTATTATTTACTTTAATTCTATTTAGTACTTGTTATATTTAGTCATAGTATAAAAAAAGGTAATTCCTTAATTATAGGTATTTATGTTTATTCCATAATTATAGGAATTACTTAATTGTAGGAAGATTTCTTTCCTCTTCCTATGACCATACTATGAGGATCCCAATGTTTCCAGCGAAGTGAAGGAGGCGACTCTTCTCCCACTTGGTGAGACTGATCCGGGCATCATTTCTGCTTCTGTCCCAAAGATACGTAAGAGTCACAGAAGCGGAAGAACTGGTTAATTTTTTTCTTGTCGGCACAGCTGCTTGTTTCACCTGTATCTCGCAAACTGTTTCAGCACAGAAATAAAATTATAAAAGCAAGCATAAGAAAGAATGTATAGCGTGCTTCTTGCTAGTTAGTGGTTTCTTTTTTGTGTTAAGAGTTGCATGCACTTAAGTGCTGGATTCTATGTTGTGAATTGGCAGAGATACAAAATGGATGGTAGCTAAGGCTGAAAATGGTTACTACATTGAAAGTTAACCTTTGCTACAGCCAACTGTGTTATGCTCCTTTTATGTTTGTATGAGATATTTTCACGTGGCATTTTATTCTGATTTGTTCTTATTACCATGCAGGTATCGCATTCAAAGTGGCAGAAAAGTCAACGTCTGCAGTATTCATCCATCAGAAGAAGCAACCCTGCAGTGCATAGGTTGTCTAAAGGCAAAAGTACCCCCTGCAAAGAGTTTCCATTGTACGCCCAAATGTTTCTCAGATGCTTGGCAACACCACCTCGTTTTGCATGAACGAGCTGGCAGTGTTGTGAATGAAAATGGAAACAAGGAGAAAGAATTACTTGGACGATTTAGTCGTGCTGTCAATATCAGTTCAACATCCAACTTGGATAATGCTTCCGCACCTATATATACTGCAAATATTTCAGAAAAGAGTGGAGAAATCTGGTTTGAAGTGGGGCGTTCTAGAACCTATACTCCCACTGTTGACGATATTGGTCATGTACTTAAGTTTGAATGTCTTCTGGTAGATTCCACAACTAGATTACCTGTTGGAAGTCCAAGCACAGTTACAACATCATGTGTAATTCCGGCTCCTTCATCATGCCCTCGTCTCATGATTAAAGTTGGTGGTGCTGATTTTCTTGGGAATTTGCTTTATGATGGTCATAGTTCATCCTCTGGTACCTTCAAGGTACTCTCATATAACATTCTCGCTGATCAGAAAGCAACAAGTGACCTATATGGCTACTGCCCTTCTTGGGCTCTTGCATGGCCTTATAGGAGGCAAAATTTATTGAAAGAGATCATTGGCTACCGTGCTGACATTGTTTGTCTTCAAGAGGTACATTTTCAATGCACTTAATTTTTCTTAGGGGCTGTTTGGGATCTCTTTTATTTTTGTTTTCTATTTTTTTTGTTTTATTTTGGTTTATTTATGTTTTGATCTTAAACAAAACACTTTTGATATATTTGATAGAGATATGGTTGTTTTTTGAAAACACTCAAAATACTTAAAAGTTGTTTTGAATATTTTCAAAAAACATGCTTATTTAAGAACAAAAAATAAAAACATATAAAAAACAAACTAAACAAACGGAAAAATAAAAACTAAAGCATAAAACAAATTTGATTTCAAACAAGCCTTTAACATTTATAATTCATGTATTTAGAGATTTTTTCTGGTTATATGTTATATATTTTTGCGCTTTTATTTTGAATTTCATTATTCTTTATTTTTTTATTATTGTTTTATATTAACTCAACCAAACAGTGCCATCCAATTATACTCCTCATTTCCCATATATCATTAATTTTATTTGGGGTTTTTACATACACTAAACATACTTTTTTACATATTTCACACCTAAACATTAATATTTACGATGTAAGCACGAGCACTAACAACATTAAACTACCTCGCACGAGCTCACCGGAAGGGAAAGGGGAAATGCAGCGACAGGATTGCAGCGGCATCCGTAGACCTTCGAAACTTCCTTCATTCTCCTCCTCCAGTTGACAGACTTGCTCTCCCTCCTCCACCCAAACTCGAGAGCTCCTTTTTTCCACTGAATCAGGGTGGCCACCACCACCCGTCATGCGGACAACACGAAGAGTTAAATGCCGCCGCAAATTCCGATAATGTCAACCCCAAGTCTAGGCAACCCTGGTTGACAATGAATTGCAGGTTGATGGGATCGGCGACGCCGAAGAATGAAGAGAGGAGGCAAGTCAGGGCAACCCGGGCTGACAGTGAATAGCAGGTTGATGAGATCGGCGATGCCGGAGAAAGAAGAGAGGAGACGGGCCAAGGCAACCCGGTTCGACAACGAATCATAATTTGATGGGATTGCCGGCGCGGGAGAATGAAGAGAGGAGGCGGAGTTTGTATGCCACCGCTATCCCGTTGCTGCATTTCCACTTTCCCTTCCGGTGAGCTCGTGCGAGATAGTTTAACGTTGTTAATGGGGGAGCTTATTCCGTAATTATTAATGTTTAGGTGTGAAATATGTAAAATGATATGTTATGAGTGCTGTGTATGTAAAAACCCCATTTTGTTTGGCATACATAGGGATGTTTTTTTCTTTTTCTTATTTTTATAAAATTTATTTTGGGACCCAATTATTAGGCTTAATAATTTTTGTTTGGTTTGCTGTTGTAATTTAACCTGTTGTCAAACTAGAGGTCTCAAAATTTTACACTCCATCCTTTTTTAGCGTGTGGTAGCAATAGGCTTATGATGTGTTCTGGGAGAAAGATGAGATTATTGGCTATTATGAAGCCAAATGTGCTTTCAGATGTGTAGTTGTTCAAGTATATAGGGTTGATCCTGGCTGCAAATTATGAGCTTAAGGTTTTGAGTCGGTTGATTGCGAAGCTCCTTGGGATTTAAAGGGCCTTAACTTAAAAGATAAACTTTCTGATTGTGTTGGCTAGTGTTATTCAGCATTTTTAATATTTTTTCCCCAGCCATTTATTTTTATTGTGCAAAATTTCTACCGGCAAGGACTGCAAGGCTATACTTTTTTATTCTGATATCTCTATTTATGCTTTTGCAATCAAGTAGGGTGAACTTGATTTTAGTTTTTTTGCTGAACTTTGAACTATAGGAATCCTTAACGCATTCCTGACTTGTGAGATTTCCTGATTGAATTCTACATTTTTATCATCGAACACGACAATGTTGTCTTTGAGATTGGTATTTTGTACGGACTTTTATTTTTATTCCTTCACAAGTAAACATGAAAACTGCAGGTTCAAAGTGACCATTTTGAGGAATTTTTTTCTCCAGATCTTGATAAGCACGGTTACCAGGCGCTTTACAAGAGGAAGACAACAGAGGTTTTCTTTGATATGACATTATCTTCAAACTTGTTTCTACATGTGCGTTCTCTTAACTATATTTATTTGTTAGGCTTATAATGGAAATTCAGATATAATTGACGGCTGCGCTACTTTTTTTCGAAGAGATCGGTTCTCACTTGTTAAAAAATATGAGGTTAGCCTTCCTTTTTTACTTCTATTTTTTTTTAAAAGATGCAATTATAATGTTTGCTGAAGTTGTTTGCTTTGCATTCAGTTTGAATTCAAAAGGGCTGCACAATCTTTGATTGATGCAGTGATCCAGCCCGGTCAGAAACAACTTGCTTTGAACCGTCTAATTAGGGTTATTGTCTCATGCCTGAGTTTAATATTCATGGTTTTATGTTATAACATCCCTTTTTTGTTAAATATTTTTTCTATTTTTTATTGCTAGGACAATATTGCTTTAATTTTAGTTTTGGAGGAAAAGCTTAGCAACCATGGTATTGATAGTCGTAGCCAAAGGCAACTTCTTTGTGTGGTAAGAGTTATCTTTTTCTTTTAACATATTTCTCTCATGAACTATAAGAAAATTCTTTATATTAATCTAAGGGGCAGAAGTTTCCCTTTTTTTTGTTTGAAATATGCAGTTCACACTTGACAGTGATACCTGTTATTTACCATTAACCTGTGTAGGCAGGATGATTAAACATCATTGAAGGCATTTTTTCTTTTGTATTGAGAAGAAAATGAATCAGTTCGTTAGCATGTAAACAATTATTTGAGAGATATGTAGACATGATTGCTTAGTTGAGCTCTTAGGTGCAAGCTATATACAGGTTTAGATTCTGAATTGGCGTTTTTGCTAATTTTATGATAATGATGATGCATATTTGAAGCTGGATTCTTATCAAATTTCTTTCTTCTTTGATATTTTCATAAAGTATGCTACTTGGTTTGACTCTACTTAAATAGTTTTTTTGCGTGTTGATGGCCATTTTACACTTCCTTTCCTCAGACAAATACTCATTTGGATGTCCATCCTGATCACAAAGATGTAAAACTTTGGCAGGTTTCCATTCAACTAACTTTACCGTGCTATTTAGTTTTTTTTTTTTCTTTCTTATTTATTTATATTATTTGCTTTAATTCTTTCAGATGAACACTCTTTTAAAAGGATTAGAGAAAATTGCTTTGAGTGCTGACATTCCTATGTTGGTTTGTGGGGATTTTAATTCACTTCCAGGAAGGTATGAACCCGCTGACAATTTCTTCTAATATTTTTTTTCTTTGCTTTAATGATCAACTTTATAGGGCTTAAATTTTGGCTGTGATAATTATTTTTATACGTTAAAAATGGGAATATTTCTTGGATGCAGTGCATCTCATGCGCTTCTCGCAACGGGCAAGGTTGACCAATTGCATCCTGATTTGGGGGTAGATCCCCTTGGGATACTCCGTCCTTCAAACAAACTAAATCACCAGCTCGCTCTGGTAATACTTGTATAGATTGTTTGACATGAGTATTGTTTTTTTTTGTATTTGCTTTTTATGAGTTTGAAAACGTTACAGGTTAGTGCATATTCAACATTTGCGAGGATGGTCGGGGTTGATCGTAATTTAGAGTGGCTACGAAGAGTGATGGACCCCACAACAAATGAACCTCTATATACGAATTATACTAGGGATTTTATTGGTACTGTTGACTACATATTTTACACAGGTATACTTCTACGTTTTGCGGCCTATGCTTTTATTTTGATTTGTTTTCTCATACGCTTTTTTATGATTAACTTTATGAGGTACGGTTACATGTTTCTTGCAGCGGGCTCTTTAACTGTGGAATCATTATTAGAATTATTGGATGAGGATAGGTTACGCAAAGAAATTGCACTTCCTTCAACGGTGTGGTCATCTGATCACATAGCGCTTTTAGCAGAATTTCGATGGAAATCCAGGATGAGAAGTTGACACTAACGTGAGTAAATTTTCATTCCATCTATATTTTTATCTTTAAAAAAATTATTTGTTTTTGAAGGGTTTTGAAGAACCAATATTAATTGTCATAGATTGAACTTAGCTTGGTTTTATTATAAATTGATGTGAGCTAGAGCTCCAACTCGAGCCAGATTGTCACATGTATGTTCATACTTAGTTTGATTAAATTTTTTAATAATCATACTTGATTTGCTTCTGATTTGCTTCTAACTTGAGTAAATCTTCATTCCATCTATATTTTTTTATCTTTAAAATATTATTTGTTTTTGAAGGTGTTTGAGGAACCAATCTTTAATGTTATAGATTGAACTTAGCTTGGTTTTATTATAAGTTGATGTGAGCTCGAGCTCGAGCCAGGTTGTCAGATGTATGTTCATACTTAGTTTGCTTAAATTTTTTAATAATCGTATTTGATTTGCTTCTGATGAGTTTTTATTTAATTAAATAAATATTACAATTGGTCACTAAAAATGTTAAAAATTCAAACAGGGGCTTGACATTTCATACAATTATTTTCACAAATGATTTTGTAAATCCAAGTAAATAAGTAATTGAATAAATTCTGAACTAGTAAACTATAATCTCTACTTTATAGAGATTATATAAGATAATATATAAGTTGCAAGTAAGTTTTTTTGCAAGCAAATAACCTAAATAAGTATAAACAAACAAGTTCATTGAAAAAAAATTATCGTTCTTGGGTACTCCGCCACTCAAAAGGGTGTCGGTGCCTTAATCCTACCATTAACAAAGTTTATGTAAGTGCTGATGTCTTCTTATTTGAAAGTGTTTCCTATTTTTCTAGCTCGGCCGCAGGTGAGGTGGAGCTTGGGTTCTTCGACATTGTCCCGTATTCTAATCCTATGGATGTTACCCCCATTGTTCCTGTTCCCTGTTCCGTCAAGTGCACCATCCGGTGAGTCCCTTGATTCGATGAATACACAATCTCCTCCTCCCACTATCAGTGTCTACACTCAGCGCACCCATTGCAATGCTCCTACTATGGAACCTGCTACTTCCTTATAGGACCCTAACTCCATTCCGGGCGACGTCCTCAACACAACCCCTCCTCCGAACGAGGAGCTGAGTTCTCCCAGTATTAAACATGCTCCCTCTATTCTATGACAAGATGTGTATATTTTCCTAGTTCATCGCCTACCTACTAAGCATTTGCTACTTACTCTGACGGACCGTCAGATCTCAGCCACTATTGAGGGTGTTTTTGCTGATCCAACCTGGAAAACAGCAGTAATGGAGGAGATGAACGCTCTTCGACCGAACCATATGTGAGACGTCGTTGATCTTCTTCAGGATAAAAAAATTGTGGGGTGCCGATGGATTTTCAGCACCAAGTTCAACTCTGATGGATTCTTTGAACTCAACAAGGCACGGTTGGTCGCTAAAGAGTACTCTCAGACCTACAAAGTCGACTATGAGGAGACATTTGCTCCATTGGCTAAGTTAAATATTATTTGGGTTCTGTTGTCCTTTGCAGTGAATCTGGATTGGTTTTTATTTCAGCTAGATGTCAAGAATGTGTTCTTGAATGGAGAGCTGACACAAGTGTTATACATGTCTCTCCCTTTTGACTTTGACTCTAATGCATCGAAAGGGCAAGTGTGCATTATGCGAAAGTCCTTCTATAGGCTAAGGCAATCCCCAAAGCAATGGTGGACCTAGGAAAGGTCCATGGGGCATTTAACTTCCCGTAAATTCAGATTTTTATTTATATATAGGGTAATTTGACTTTTTGCCCGTCCTGAATTATTAGTTTTGCCCCTCATGAAATATTATTTTACCTTTCATTACCATAGCACCTCCCTCGTTGGGCCTATGTGAACAATTTGCACCCCGTAAAAAAAGATATAGGTTCCGCTTTTGTGGACCCCAAAGACCTGGTTCAGCAAGTTCACAAAGGTGGTTGTGGGTCATGGTTTTACTCAGGCTCAGTCAGATCACATTCTCTTCTTCCGACATTCCTCCATTGGTCGCGTAGCTATTCTTATTGTCTATATTGATGATATTGTTCTTACAGGAAACGATCTCCCAAATATTGGAGTCATTGAAAGACATTCTTATTAAGTCCTTTGAAACGAAGACTTGAGATCTCTCAGGTACTTTTTAGGCATGGAAGTGAGTCGATCATCTCGGGGCATTTGTCTATCTCAGCGCAAATGTTATCCATATGTATCACAATGAAAAAGTATCTGACATTCCTGAGGTTGTGTCTGTCAACAAGACTCACTACGAGCGCCTTAAAGGGAAACTCATCTACCTCGCCCATACTCACCCCTACATATGTTATGCAATTGGTATAGTGAGTTAATTCATGCATGACCCATATGTGCACCATTTAAAAGTTGTCCACTGGATTCTTCTCTATTTAAAAGGTACACTAAGCTCAGGTTTGTTTTTCTCTCGTCACCTCTCGGTCTATTGTTATTTATACAGATGCTGATTGAGCCTGGTCGGTTCATGATCGACGTTCCACCTTGAGGTATTACTCATTTGTATGTGAAAATCTTATCACATGAAAAAACAAAACAAAGACTGTGGTTGCTCGTAGCAGTGCTGAAGTTGAATTCCAGTCAATGTCCTTGGGGAAACTGTGAAGTCCTTTGGTTACACATCATGCTCAGTGAACTTCATATGCCAAATTCTGTTTCGCTACAACTATTCTTTGATAATAAGACTGCAATCAACATTGCTCATAATCCGGTCGAGCATGATTGTACCGAACATTCGGAGATTGACAGACACTTCATTAAGAAAAATGTTTGAGTTTGGGGAAATTTGTGTTTCTTTTGTGCGTTTTAGTGGTCAATATGCAGATACCCTTATCAAAAATATTCTTTGTCCTTTGTTCGATCACTTCAAATCCAAGTTGAACATAATTGACATATATGCTTCAATTTGAAGGGGTGTATTAGATTTATCAGGTTTATTGACTTTCCATATTAATTCCCCTTATTCTACATTAGACACTTTCCTTTTCATCTTTGTTATGTTATATATATATATATATATATATATATGCATAGTTGTTTTGTTTTGCTGTAGGCTAAAGCAGACTCTTAATGTCATAATCTTTCAAACTTTTTATAAAAGTGATGCGGTTCAAAGTTGTGCTTGTCGATGCTATTTTTTTATTTTAGGTGCATTCACATTCATACCACTGAATTCTTATGTATTTACATATCCGACATAAAAAATTTATTTCTTACATTTATACCACCCAAATCTTTCATATCACACTAAAAAATTCTCCATTCTAACTCTTAAAAAGTGAAATTCACCTTTCTGTGCATGCATATGTAAGGTTTTTTAGCTATTGAGATATTATATTTGTGTCTTACAGGTCCTTCATCCAGTGTCGCTGATCTTTCGTACAAAAACAGCGCTTTGCAAAGAATTTGGGTCCATCGGGTAATTATAGGATTTATGCTGTTTGGTGTTCCGCGGTGATTCTATTAACCTCCGCTTGCATCATCTCACAGCCTCCTCGTAGAACTCGTTTTCCAAAATGTGATTTTTTTTTATTTTTTTATTTTTTCTTCCATGGCATGGTTTTATTGAAAGGGCCGTGCTTATTATTAGTTTGAATTTTAGAATATTAGTCGTTTTAGTCTTGAGCAGTTCTGCTGATATTGCCCAGCTGCAAAATAAAAGCTATTGAGCTTTTTTTTTTTAGTTATATAAATGCAATAAAAGTCTCTCTTTTTTTTTCTACATGGTACGGGTGATCATATGTGTGTGTGTGTGTGTGTGGGCGCGCGCGCGAGAGCGCCGCAATCTATGACCTGTTTCAAAGTGGGCCTATCAATTGCTTGGATCTTGACTCAATTTCTATCTGAATTTGCATTTAATTTTTACAAAAAATTGAATTACATCTCAAGTTTGACCTCAGATTGATTGAGATTGATTTTATTCCATTAAAATTTGGCTTTATTTAGATTCAAAAATATAAAATTTATCTAATTTATAATGGGCTTTACTATTTAAAATTTATTTTAAAGCCATGGCTCATTTTTTATTTTGACGAGTTCTAAAGTAAAAAAAAAAAATAAATAAATTGGCTTGGTGCTAGTTTTGTAAATATCGATTTTTTCCCGTACCATGAATGTAATTATCCCAAAATTTTGGTTAATCATTATTTCAATTAGTTCTAATAAATGCTAATTTTGTGGCCTTTATTAGAGTTGGTGTAAAAAGAGTTGGTGGGATAAGGATTGTCTCATCTAGAAGTATACTTTCGATATGGGTAGCTTCTTATTGCTAAGTTTAGGGAAACAAATAAATAAATAAATAAAAACTAAATGTGTATTATTTTAATTATTATTAGGAAGATGGCTTTGGGTGTACCAACTATTTCTATCTTTGATTGTTGGTGGTGGAGAAGATTTGTCTCTTATGCTTTTGTCTTTTGATTGGTAGACTCAAGTAGTTGCATGCTATAATTATTGTGGAAAATAATTATCTCATTTGGTTAATACAAAGAAAAGAGAGGGCTATGCAAATGCAACTATATGATTGTGGGCTATTGCAAATGGCTAATACAAAATGAGAGGAGCTAATATATATTTCTAGATTTTAAGTGATGATATTCCATTAATGGAGTAGTGAAGTACCAAAATATTTCTTATTCATTCTTATTAATAGCATATACAATATTTTGTGCCCTCTCATAATCATCAAGAGTCAAGATGATTCCATTATTAGGTTTTCTCTAATTAGCTGAATCAAATTAAGGTTGGGTTTGGGTGGTAATTAATGGTGGCTGGTCTTTGATTGACAAATATAATACATCATTTTGAAGCTCTTAATGGATCACGAGTTCAATGTTCATATTTATTAAAACTTCTAAATGGGTGTAGAATCATATTTGAGGCTAAATAAAAATATAGATGGTAGGTCATTATTTTTGTCAAAATATTTTCTTTTTTTAATTGAGAGCAATAAAAGATAAGCACTACTTGTTGAATCAAAAAACAATAAAAGTTGTATTAACCTTTGAAGATTTAAATTAAGATGAAAAAACTATATGAAATCAGATGAAAATGAAGACAATTTGTTAACACTACGGCATAGCTCAAGTTGACAAAGGGTTAGGGGGCTATTAATTTGAGAAAGTGATTAATACAAGTAAGGTTAAATTCAAACGCAGGTTTTTCCCATGGCTTAAGAAGAGAGGATAATTAAGGAGAAAATAAGACTACCAAATAAAGTAAATTGGGTTCAAGAGAATAAATAATTAAAGAAGTGGAGAAAAGATTAAGTAGAGGTATAGATTTTCCAAGTAAACTGACAATCTTCACCGAAATAATTGCAAATATCCCAAATAATAGTACCATGATATAAGTGATTTGATAGTGTTTACCTACATCCACTGTAAATGCATTCTTGTCCCTTCGATAGCAATTGGAAGGAAATAAATAATTTAGACTAAATCAAAAGAGAAGAAAGACATTATTGTGGTTGGTTTAAAGAGACCGTCTAGACTACAATCTCGACTCCAAAGATTCCAACTCCTTCACCACGTCGCATTCCCCAAAAATTTCCAATAGGAAAACTAAAACTTCCTCATGTGATAATCTACTCATTCCTTTCAAAGACTATCATGTGGTAATCTACTCATTTCTTTCAAAGACTAACCAAGGTGTCCAGTATGGACAGTCCTGCCTAATGTCCTTAAGGATGTGGGGAGCATGATAACTACAAAAAAAAAGCAATTGTCACCTTGTGGCATTATGATCAACTCAATTCATCATCATGTTGTAGTATGTGACATGCAAGGCTTTACAAACTTCTCTTGCGATAGGGTTATAATATGAAGCAAGCTTAGTTTGCAATCTAAATGATCATGATAGAGTGTAAAAAAAAAAAGATAATATATTTTCATTAAAATGATTTATTTATAGAGCAAATCTTTAAGGAGAAACATATGAGTTCGACGTAAGCAATGCGGGGTGTGTAGGCCGAAGAAGCCAAGACAAGACAATGTTGTGGCAACCGACTGTTTCAATGTTAAAAGACCCCTTTTGATAGATTCATTTTTATCCTTTCTTGCCCAGCGTAATCATCTGCTACTTGCAGAGATCCACGCTGAAGAAGATGCACCTCCCCTTAAGCAAGGCTATGCTTGCCATAGGACAACGTTAACTCCAGTGCCAATGAAATCTTGAAAGTTGCCGAGGGAAGGCAAATTGGCAACGGTGAATGCAACCTTCGGCGAGGTGTCGACATTAGTTGGAGAACTTCGACTGGCCAGCCCGCTAACCACCATGATCTCGATGAGTGATCCGAGGGACGAATTGATAGCAGCAACTCCACCAGGCTTACAGGAGGCCGAGGAGAGGTCTTATCTTGGCTAGCAAAGCACATCAACATGCATTGGCCTTAAGAAACCCATTTTTGATATATAGTTGAATATGTAAGTACATAAGGATTGAGTGATTTCTATATAATCTTTCATTATTATTATTATTATTATTATCACATTACATTATCATAGGAAACTTTGTCATGTCAAATTGTTATAAATATAAATATCAAATATTAGATATTAGATATGTAAATATATAAGAATGGTATGATATATATGTAAATTTTTCTATTTTTTTTGGTTTATGCTACATTTGATAATTTCTACTTTTAATTAATTTCAGAATTTGTTTTTTTCCCCCACAAAATTACGTTTTTATCTCATTGCCTCCGTGTCTATCACTCACTCTCTCTCTCTCTCTCTCTCTCGCCGCGGGGAGATGTTCTAGCTGCGAAGAAACCAGGAAAAAAGAAAAAGATTTGGGTTATCTATTAAGGGAGGAATCTCAAAAATTGCTGGCGAAGCTCCCTTTTCGTGTTTCTCATCTCCTCCAGCAAGAGATCCGATCCTCTCTGCTCTGTATTGATTCATTCCTTCAAATCGAACTTTTTCCAGTTCAAAAGCTCTTCTAAAAAAGTTTTAGAATTGCATCATAGAGGAGCCCGTCACGGTGGTGGGCGTGTTGTATTAGCATAGCTTCTTCTGGCTCCGATGGCTTCGGCGAAGTCGTCCCGATCTAGGGCTTTGGGGCCCTCTGGCCTGGCGTCCTCGGGGATTCAGCATCTCGGAGGATCGATTCCTGGATCCCAGGAGAGCGGTGTGCAGCTTTCCGATAAGCTAAAGATATTCAAGTCCGACAATTTTGATCCCGATGCCTACATGCAGTCGAAGTGCCAGAGCATGAACGAGAAGGTATGCTCCTTCCCTTTCTCCCTTCCTTCGTTTGTGAATCACGATTAGTTTGAATTGGCTAAATTTTATTTGGAGGATTGCGTGAACTTCGTTTGGGATGATTTAATAGGACTGCAAATTTCGATAATCCAGTTGAATTTTCTCTCAAATAAAACTTTTGATCTCCTGTTTAGTACGTGGCTACGTGTAGTTATTTATATTGAATTACTGGAAGCAAGTTTTCTGTAGGAATTTATGAACTGTACTTGGTTTACTGCATGCTTAAGGTTTAAATGCTTCCCTATGGCGACTGGAAGCTGCTTTGATGGCCAATTCTGGATTTTGGGATCTTTAAGATCCATTAATAATTTGTTTTTGATTTGATGTCAGCGTGTCATAAATAATATTGTTCGTTCTTGCAAATAAGCTGTACAATTGGAATGTTGAACTGTCCAAGATTTCATGCTTTAACATCTTTTAACTTTGGAGTAGGAACTGCTTTTTGTGTAGGATTGTAATTAGAGAAATTTACGTACCTTGTACCAATTCATGCATAGCACTTTGGCACTCTAAACCTATGCATGATAATAGTGCTATTTTTAATGTTATACCAAAGATTTAAGTGCTATGTGTGTAAATATGAAAGTTTACATGTGAGATATGTAAATACATAAGATTTAAGTGCAATGTGACCTGCATTTTCATGGTGAGGATTGCACTTAATTTCGTTTTTCTTCTTTGCAATACTTTAGGAATGATGAACAACCTTGATGTTGTATGAATATGTGCATCTTTTTCTTCATTAATTGTTGAGAAATTTACATATATACCATACAATTATTATGTATTTACATATGTAAGACCAAAAGTTTGATATTTACACTTATAACAACTTGGTGTCATGATCCTATGCATGAAATTATGTCTTTTGCTTTTAAGAAGATTGTGATGGTATTATTTTTGATGTGATGTTAATGATTTGTGTGTTATGCATGCAAATATGAACATTTAGGTGTTAGATATGTAAATATATAAGAATTGTGTAATATACGTATGTAAATGCCCCTTAATATTTTTTTACCATAAACATGCTCTTATCTGTATATTTCATAGTGTCATGTAGTTTGCTTATTTTTATGCTTGTAACTTGTGTGAAGGAAAAAAATTTCATGAGGTAATGTTCGGTTAAAGGGGATCTCTTTTCTTTAATTTCTTATTTTTTAGGTTTTTATGATATCCCATCTCAAGAGCCCTTTCCAAGTAATTTTAATGAAATAATGCTGGTGCAGCTGAGGCATTCATGAAGTTTTGAATACCTACAAGAGCAAAATGGAGTGTGAATTTCTTAACTGAGCTGAGGTTTACTCCAGCTTTTTAAAATGCTTTCTTTTACTGTGATGTAAAAGAAAAATTAGCTTATCTTATTGAATATTTGAGTGGAGAAAGAAGAAGTGAAGTTAAAGGCTATAACCATAAGGGAAATTTACATACATACCACACAATTCTTATGTAGTTACATAACTAGCACCCAAAGCTTTATATTTACACTTATAACACCTTGTTGTCATAAACCTATGCATGGAAATGTGTATTTTACTTTTAAAAGAGTAGTGATGGTGGTATTTTTTTATGTGACGTTAAATATTTGAGTTGTTTGTAAGTAAATATGAATGTTTAGGTGCTAGATATGTAAATATAAGAATTTTTTGGCATATATGTAAATTCTGCAAACCATAATCCCATATGAAGACAGTAACCACCAACAAATTGACCTCAAATCTCAGCACATGTTCTTTGCAGATCGATGACATCAAATTTGGGGGATCCACACTCAAAAGCTGTTGCAACAACCTTTTGTGAAATTATAGAATTCGGAGAAAGAACCTAAAGCAATGAGTATAAGCAGAGGAACAAAGGGTAGTAGAAAGTGAACAAGCCTATGGTTTTTGTTTTTGTTTTTATTTTTCTTTTTTGGATTTATTGGAAAAGAAATGCATTTAAATTGAAAGTTTGCATATCATAGATGCCTATTACTCATGTTGATGATCCAGGTTCACTCCGCCTTTTGATCATTGGAGGTTGTTCTGCAATTCAATTGTATTTATTTATCACTCTTTCTATGCCACTTCATCAAAAATTTACATGGGGTGCAATAATTCTTTTATTTATTTTACCTTCTTGTAAATTTTACAACTTTGTCGCAATATTCATGTCATTCATCCACTGACATTTTATTTTCTCACTTTTATGAGAACTTTTGTTTCTAAACAGCTTTTGGATTGCCATCTTTGCAGGAAATAAGACACATGTGTGCATATCTGCAAGATCTAAAAAAGGCTTCCGCAGAAGAAATGCGCAAGAGTGTTTATGCTAATTATGCAGCATTCATTAAGTATGTAATCTAATCATTAAAATTTTTTTATGATGATATCGAATGCCAGTGCAACTTATTTTTCATGCCCTTTGTTTGATCTTCTGTATAATTTCTGATTTTTTCTTCTCAAATCTACCTACCTCTTCAGCTTCCTTGCTTATTGTCACATAATTGTCAAACTTTTTATTTGAAAGTTAGTTCCATTTGTACACCGTATATGACACACCAGGTGCTTTATTTCATATCGGCTATGATCACAAGGTTTTTCTTTCAGAATATATGACATTGGATTTGTTTTTCTTTTTATCATGCAGATTTGGTCTAGACGCTATTTACTTTATAGATTATGCTTGCATTTCCATCCATCTGATGCATAAATTTTTCTTACAGATGCCATGTGCTATGTTTTCACTTTTGGTTCGTTATTTGCAAATTTTCATAACTACAATGCCCTTACAGGACATCAAAAGAAATATCAGATCTTGAAGGTGAACTTCTTTCCATTAGAAATCTGTTATCCTCTCAAGCCGCTTTAATTCATAATTTAGCTGAAGGGGTTCATGTTGAGTCTTTATCTGAGGATTCTAAAAATGCTAAGGAGGATAATATAACAAAAATTGATGATCGAGAGCCTTCTGAGTTAGAAAAATGGTTGCGAGAACTTGGTGATATACTTGATGTTTTGCTTGCTGAAAGGAGAGTAGAGGAAGCTTTGGATGCCTTGGATGAAGCCGAACGAATTGGCTCAGATGCGAAAGAGAACCAGATGCTGAGTTCAACTCAACTTTTGTTGCTAGAGAATACTATCATCGAGCATCGTCAGAAGTTATCGGATCAACTCGCTGAAGCAGCATGTCAATCATCTACTCGTGGAGTGGAGCTTCGTGCGGCTGCCTCAGCTCTTAAAAGGCTCGGGGATGGACACCGCGCCCATAGTTTATTGCTAAATGCGCATTACCGTCGGCTTCAGTATAACATGCAAACCATTCATCCAACAAGCACATCCTATGGAGGAGCATATACTGCCGCACTATCGCAGCAAGTTTTCTCTGCCATTGCTCAAGCTGTGAATGATTCTTTGGAAGTCTTCGGTGACGATTCAGCATATTCATCAGAACTTGTGACGTGGTCAGCAAAACAGGCGGAGGATTTCGCACGTCTTGTAAAGAGACACGTGTTAGCTTCATCTGCAGCTGCTGGAGGTCTAAGAGCTGCCGCGGAATGTGTCCAAATAGCCATCGGACATTGTTCGTTGCTGGAAGCTCGCGGGCTCTCCCTTTCTTCCGTTCTTCTGAAACTTTTCAGGCCCAGTGTTGAACAAGCATTGGAAGCAAATTTAAAGCGAATTGAAGAGGGAACGGCAGCGCTGGCAGCTGCAGATGATTGGATTCTTACACCACCTCCGTCTGGGACACGTTCGACAGGTAGATCGGCTAGCACGATAGCCATTGTTCAGCCTAAACTTTCAAGCAGTGCACACCGTTTTAATTCAATGGTTCAGGTAAGAGGTACCCTTGCACCCAGATGAGAGTATGATATGTTTTACCTTTGCTTTTCTAATTTGTCTGCTTTAGTTTATTTCCTCCAATTATCTTATATGAATATATTTATGCACTTGAGAAATTGAAGCGACCGATAATATTTACGCAAATAATATCTTGGAGTGTATATTTTTTTAGATGTACCTCTATTTGAGTATCCTCTAGAATGATAGCTACATTAATAGTGACATCAGATCCAATGTATTTTTTAATTTTTCTTGAATAATTTTAAGAAAAGGAGTTTACCCTCTAGCTTCTTTTTGGGTTTGGGGCTATCCTCTAGGAAATGGTGAGTAAAGGGGCTCTAACAAATAGGATTTGTTTATGCTTAACGGCATCTAGAAATGGGTAAAATATATTTTTCATTTGCTACTGTTGAGTGGTACATGTGGTGTTTTCTGTACATTACTAAATATTTTTAGCCAGAATTTGTGCAAATTGATTCATGTTACATGTTGTGAAACTCTTATAATACTTATATAGGATAGAAAAGAAGGATTTATGAAGGTAACCTCCAATAGTGGAATAAGACTTCTAATGATGATGATGATTCAACTAATGACAATTTCTCCAGAGATAATAAGCGATTTGAGAGGGTTTACTTCAAAAAAGTATGTAAAAAAATGTTAAGATATGCACAGCATATCTTTATTCTAGATAATGTGCACTTACATTACTTATATTGAAGTCACCAAACTTGTTAACAAATATGCACTGGCATTGAAGTTGTGCAAAGCTGTTAAGTTTCTTGATATCACTTCAATCAAACGACTGATATATGCTACTAAATTTTTTATTGTTAAATCTTGCATTTCAAGTTTTTTTTTTCTTTTTTTTTTTTTTGTAACAAATGCATGATTCTTAGTAAGTTCTTTGTTTAGCTTAAGATAGTCATGTTTTGTCTCCACTGCGATGTGCTTAGGTTTTATCTCGTCATTTACGCTCTTGTTCTCACCCTATTTAGCCGTCATATTTTATCTTCAACCTCTATCTTTTTTTTTTTGTTCTCATTTTTCAACTGTATCCACAAATTTTCTTAATATTTCTTGCATTAACATGTAAGTTTTTCTTATTTTCCACATTGCCTTTCTTTTCCTTTTGATTTCCATAAATAAAATTTATTCCTATGAATTTTGTATGCCTTTTGTTTTCCGTCCTATATAACTTCGTCGCTTTGTACCAAAACTTTGCATGCTTTGATACATTTACATATTTATTATCCTAGCCATGCTTTTTTAATTGAAAAACTAGGGAGATCCATCTTATTAGTTGAAAGTAGAAAAAATAGAAAAAGAATTATTTGATACAAAATTAACTAGAAAACAGATCTTTAGAAAAAAGAGAAAGTTAGATAATGGCTTTCTAGAGGCTGGTCCAGGAAGTTTAAAGCTCTCATTTTTTCTATGATTTGATATATTTTATTTCCATGACTATTATCATTTGATAGTAAGTTTTAGATAAAAGTATTGAACCTTATTTTTTTTTAATCATCCTTAATATTATTTGAGAAGCAAGTGCTATTCATTGCATCCAAATGTTCAAAAGAGCCAACAATAAGATGATTTCTCAAATGTCTTCAATATTGTCTTTGATAAATATCTCTTTCAACTAAATGGGGGAGTTCAGGGGAATAAAATCTTTGGAATCATTTCCCTAGAGGAGATTGCGCAAGACATAATTTGTATAAATCCTCAAACCCATATGTGATAGAAATCTTCCCCAAAATGAAAATCCAAAGAAAGCTATCTTCAAAGGGAACAAGGCCTTCGAAATCTAAGGATAAGAAGTGAGAGTATCATTATGCATTAAGAAAGTTTACGAAGACTAGATTGAGGAAATAACTTTAGGAGAGCAACCACTTAGGAGAGTCAATATGTGAATTCATCTTAATGCAATTAAACTCATTTTAAAGATATATAAATTCATTATTGAAGGAGTAATCTCTTCTTAGTGAAGATGCCAATCAAAAGAAAGGGAGAAAAGAGACTTTACCAAACAATTTAACTTCCAAGTCATCTTAAAAAATATCGTCATGAAGCTTTGCCGAAGGCAAATTATGGATCCAAAAATCTTTCCAAAATCTGTTTTTGCATTATTATTGACATTTTAAGAGATGAGGTGAAATAAATAATAATTTTTTTTTAAATCCTTAATAAAATGAGAAGCATTAGTGCCTATATTCATCCAAAGCCAATAGTAGTTTTATACAAATATTTACTTTTGATGATGCAACTTAATAAGGAAGTAGTGTCCACGTGAATAGATTTTTAGATTCATTTTGAAAGAAGAAAAGTAGTCATTGTATGGAGATTTTTAATACCATGTTCACCAATTTTTTTAGTTTTACATTTTTTTTCAGTTAACCAACAAGAAATCTCTTCTTTCAACAATTCATTTTTACGAGAAACTGCTTCTTATACTGTCACTTTTGGTAATGATTCAATTTGAAATCCAAAATAATGAGTAGTACAAAGGAGTGTAAGATAAGATATAACTAATTAGAACAATCCTTCCACCTATAAAGGGACGTATAACTTTCTAGGAAGCAAGGTTTCTCTGAATTTTATCTGTAATAGTGGTCCAAAGACTTGTTTGCATCATTTTTAGTTTTGAAAGGAATGCTTAAAAATTGGGAAGATAGTCTTTCAAGAAAACATCTCTAAGCATTAGTGATAGAAAGTTCTTTATGATGAAAACCACCTAGATAAATTAAAGAAGATTCAAGGAAGTTAATTTTGAGACTTGGGAGAAAAATATTTTTATGAGCCAAAATTCGATCATAATCACCTCTATATTAGAATGCAAGAATTATTCTTTTTTTCTATGGTGGAATGGGTTATCCCATGTGCCACAACAATGCAATCAAAGTACTTCTACATTCAATAAAGACACCATGGGAAAGATCAAACAAATCATGAAAATTTGATTTAAGTTTATTTGCTAAAGTCTTGGCTATTATTTTGAAGGTCTTATGGTGGAGGCTAAGAGGTTTAAATTTTTTAGGATTTTTGCAAACATCCTTTTTGGCAATAAGACCAATGTTCACATCATAATTCAAGCTTGCCTAGGAATTCTTAGAATATATCCTCAAACATCTTCAAATCTGATGAATAAGATCTATTTCCCTTCTACTTTGGCATTTTTATGAAAATATAAGTGATCTATAGTCTTCAAGATGGCACTTGATTTTGGATTTTTTATGTCAACAAATTTCTTTTTCATTGAATTTGTTGTCGATCCATTTTCTACCTTTTTTATGATCTTCAGGGTTTTGGTAGGATGCTAAACCAGGTCAGATTTGATTTCAATATTATTAAGTTTATTTATCATTGATTTTATTTCTTTAACTTTAATAATGTGATGATGTATTTTTTATTCAACCATTAAGATGTCTTCTTATTAGTTTAAATTGTATGGTAAGGCTCTTAAACCTATCTCCATTAGAAAAACAATCATTCCACCGGCTAGTAATTAATTTTTTAAAGCCATCCAAACTAACTAATTGTTTTCAAATTTTAAAATTTGACTCGTAGGAATGGAGTGAGGTTACAAATAAAAAATGATTGGGCATTGATTAAAAAAAACACATCAATAGTCTTTTGTCTCCTCTTTAGAAAAGAAACATCACAATAAGTGGATATATCGAAATGATCCGGTTTTGCGAATATATATATATA